AGCTTCAAAGAAATAGAAAACAGAAAACATTATGAAGAAGCGGGAACAGTACAAGTCTAATCAAGAGAACAGTAGGTAACAATTGACATTGCTTTTAATTTTTTGAAGATCGAAATTCTCCGGAAAACATGGAACCGGAAGAGAGTTCCACAAGCAGGAAGCAAGAAACTGTTTGCATAAAACTAGTTACATCTTGTCAATTCAGTATCTGTCTATATTTCTGAGCTGAGGTATTATGTACATTATTTACATTATTCGGACTATTGTCCTCATCCTTGTCACCATATTTATTACAACGTTTTTGCCTTTCAGTATCTGTCTATATTTCTGAGATGAGGTATTATCTACACTATTTACATTATTCGGACTATTGACCTCATCTTTGTTGTCATATTCATTACAACGTTTCGGCCCTTCAGTGTCTGTCTATATTTCTGAGATGAGGTATTATATACATTATTTACATTATTCGGACTATTGTCCTCATCTTTGTCGCCATATTTATTACAACGTTTCGGCCATTCTACGCTCCGGACTTCATCATGGGGGTTGGAATGTCGAACTTAAATATGACGACAAAGATGAGGACAATAGTCCGAATAATGTAAATAATGTACTAGTCAATTCAACTGTGAATTGATGAGACCTTGATGTCAATCTACTCAATCAGTCAGTTGTGTCATATGGGATGGTGTATCTTTCCATACATGACTGACGAGGTAGCTTTTTTCCCTGCAGTCGGTTGCCATTTCTTTCTGCGGTAGGCTGGTTACTAACCTAGGCTAAAGAACCCAGTCGGACCTGATATTAAACCCATATCTGGGGAGAGAAGAGCTGGATTCATAACTTTCCCTAGGGTATTTGTGCATAACTGAATCTAAAGAACTAGACTTCTATAAATTCATAAAGTCTAAATACCTGTTGTGATGTCATCAAACACTCGTTGACACTTTTGTAACGTCAACGAATAAACGTTGTCACTTTCGTAATACTCGTTGTAGTAGAGACTTTGTAATCGCAGATACAACTACAGTAACGCCGTTGAACAATACTGGTGTCAGACGCTTTCAAATGACATTCACACTCATAGTACTTGCTCGATAATACTCGCTCGAATAGTAGCCACCGAATAGTAATCCGTATAGTGATCAGTATAGAAAAATAGTATAGTGAATAGTATATAGATTGATGATAGTGTAGAGTGATCCGTATAGTAATAGAGGATAGAATAGAAATGGTGATCAATTAGACGCCACGCTAATTCCCATATATACATTTTCTTTTACCATCACGTGATCTACTTATTTCAAATGGGATTCTCTGTATATGTTCTCTGGTGATCTGTGTTCAAACCCAAGTGTCAGCAGGGACACTTTATTCCTATATGACAATACCATAGCGAAGAGCTCATCCGAGGAAATACCATGAAAGTATTTATAGAAACGTTGCAGGGGAACTATTTTACGGCGATGGGAAAGTCACTGAAGCCGAGCCATCAGACCAGGACTAATAAAATTTCTGATTCTTTTTTTGATTTTATCAAGAATCTATAAATATATAGCAGAAACACCACACTATATATGGCAGCAATATTCTAAGCATGGACGAATGGTAGACTTATAATATGTACGATAGACAGATGCTAACATTTTGATAATGTTTATTATTTACTCTTCGAGTATACGTACCCATTTTAGTTGTTGCCGCTGTTGGTATTCCTAAAGTGAAGTGGTTTCCCTGATTTGGTACAGTTCTTTGTTTTCGAATAATGTCCTCGTCTTCATTATTATTATTATTGTTATTATTATTATTATTATTATTATCGCAACATTTCTCTCGTTGTAGTATCTTCTTCAAGAGTCTGTCTATTCAAGCAACCGTCCGAGAAATTCGGTTGGTTGATTGATGATTTTGTTTAGCGGCATGTCAACACCTCCATGGGTTCCATGCCGAAATCTAAGAATTTTGTACGTAATTTTATGCTCTCAACTACCGATATTTTTAGACGTGATTTTATACCTTCAAGGTAAAAAATGTTTTATTTTTAGATATGCAGTTTATAAAAATATATTGTTGTAATTTTACTATAAAGTGTATTATATATATATATATATATATATATATATATATATATATATATATATATATATATATATATATATATATATATATATATATATATTATTAATAGACATTTTCTATAAAAATGTATTATTTATTTTATTATAAAAAAATGTTATGTTGATTTTTGTTTTAGGTTTCCCTATTTGTTCATCGTTAGGATCCTAAAAGACGTCCAATCTCCCGAGCAAATGCCTTGCTGCCAGATGTAGTTTATAGTCATACTCAAGACGAGAGAAATTTGGACTGAATTATTTAATCTACGAGCGTAGACTGTTCTTGTTCCGCTGTCCATGTGTAGTCTTGTTCTATTTTACTGCTTGGCTATTGCTCGCACTGTTTCTGATAAGTGTGAATAACTGCTCATCCCAGGGATTGAACACAAAATTACTATTTTACAAATTCACTAACAACAGCTTTAATTCTTCAGGCTATTAACCGGTAGGGAGATACTGGATTTATAATTTGATAAGAATTAATTAATTTAAAAAACTCAGGCAAAACAAAAACAAAAACAAATCCCAGCTTATTGCCCGACATCTCAAGGACGAAGTGAACAATGACTGAAACACCATGATAACAAACGAAAAAGATGAGGATGAAAATAAAGTCATTAATGATGACTCAGCTTGTGGTACCGTTAGGAAGTGGCTGAAAATCGTACCATCGGTTGACCCATGATTTATGCCTGAAACCTGTCAGATGAAACTCTTCGGAAGACGTCGATTGTCTTGCTAGCACGAAGTCACAAGTCATCGTAACCGAGGGTTTCAAGGGCCTGTTCCAACTGTTTATCACGCCAGATTATGCTCTCGGCCCCAGAAACTGTAACTACGATCAGCTCAGCATAGTCACGGTATAAGAACAAATTTGGCTCTGTTTGGTTTTGAAGAAACACGAAGGTGCCTGTGCAAATGGGGTTGGCTAACCAGCTCCCACCAGATTGTCTGATATTCAACTATATACTGTTAGTAAATTATAGATTTATTTGTTGAAATATGAACTAAACATCTATAAACGACCTAACTGTTGTTCTAACACGAAACCACAGTCATCGTGATCGAAGTTTTCATCTTACTTGGTTTGTTTAAATCCAACGACGTCAAATGATGTGCTATCTTTTAGAAGGTTCAACAAAGGTCTGCTCAAGATAGTTGTAGTATAAAACACAGGTTGGCTGTGTCTGTGTTAAAAAAAACCAAATGTGCCTGAACAAATGACTGCAACAGGAATTAACTAGACGAGCATACTCGAGAAAGAGCCTATATGTGTGAGTGTGGGTGTTTATCTGTATATGTGGGTGTATGTACGCGCGCACATGTGTGTGTATTAAATCTGCTTATGCAACATCCTTTGAGAAACAGATTCACAAAGGATGAACTCAAACTTGGAAAAGGCTCTTTACACTATTCACATTGTTCGGACTGTTGTCCTCATCTTTAATATCCCATTCACGACGTTTCGGCCGTTGTACGCTCCGGCCATCTTCAGATTATATTTGTTGTAATTTCGAACTGAACTCTTTATTTAGTCAACGGGAGGGGGTAGATTGTTCGTTCTAAATCTGGGTACCATGTTCATGTGGATAAAACGTAGGTTGATTGATGAAAAATGACCCAGACAGTTGTGAGTTCAATCCCTGGCCTCGGCGGAGGGAATAAGAACTTGTCAAGGCGAATTAACTAAAACTGAGATATCCAAAGGTATGGCACATGGGATTAGAACAATCTACCTCCTCCCCTCTGTGGATAAAAGTTCGATTGGAATTTCAAACAAATATCACCTGAAGAAGTCCGGAGCATGCAACGGCCCTAACGTCGTGAATGTGACAGTAAAAATTAGGGGGACGGTCCTAATAATGTAAACATTTAGAATACCTTATCAAATTACAATACCGCGGTTAAGTTCAAAGAACTGAATTTGTTAGTCCTTTATCATTTATCGATCATAGTTGCGATCAACGAGCCAATGCGAACGATACTTTCTTTAGCTGTATAGTATGTGCTATGACAGGGCTACATACAGTTTTGAATTCAGAGTTACTTTCTCCTAGACCGG